GCACAAGTGCTTCATGAAGGTGTGGCCCTGTCGTTTCAGGCTATAGCGAATACCAATGTAGAGTATCCACCCAGGTTCTCTGAAGGCAAAACCACACTACTTCCGAAACCCGGAGAATTCACAACTGATAACTAGAGGCCGATAATCTGTCTAAATACTCTGTACAAGTGGTTCACTTCGTGCCTATTAGGACCTGCAAATCAACATCTAGAGACGCATGGTCTAATGGATAGAGCTCAGAGGGGGCACGCGCAGGCTGTAGCGGAACCATAGACAATTTAATGACTGACAGAGTGGCGACCTTAGACTGTCATAGGCGAAAGCGGAATTTTAGTATGGCGTGGATTGACGTCAAGAAGGCGTACGATTCGGTAGACCATGGTTGGTTGGAGGAGATGATGGTCTTACATAGATTCCCTATCTGGTTGTCAAGGACTGTAAAGAAGTTAAGCAAGAGCTGGAACACAAGGGTGGTGGCGACAGCAAAGCTAGGACGCGAGAAATCTGAGCCAATCAGGTTTCTTAAAGGTCTACCCCAGGGTGATGCTCTCTGTCCCAGACTCTTCACGGTTTGCTTGAATCCTATTGCGTGGAAGATCAGTGCCAGTGAGGGCTGTAAGCTATCTAAGTCAATTAGTGAAAAGGTAACAGATTTACTGTATATTGACGATCTAACGGTCTTTGCGTCTTCGGAGAGTAAACAAAGCCGTGTTATGGAATCAACCAAGACTGCGATGGAGGATGTCGGACTCCAATGGAACCCCAAAAAGTGTGCGATCGTTCATGCACGGAGAGGGGGGTATATACTCCTACCCATGATGCCACGGGGCTAGGGGTAGATGAGAAGATCTGTATTTCCAACCTTGAAGAGGGCAACCAGTACAAGTTCTTGGGTGTTTTGGAGACGGCGAGGCAAGAGAAAAGGATGTCGTTGGAAGGCGCAGCCAAGGAGTATCTTCGCAGAATGTCTTTCATCTGGTCAAGTCCCTTGTCTGATTATAATCGTGTAAGAGCCTCGAACCAATTTGCATTACCAGCGTTGGGCTACCTGATGTGGACACAACAGTGGCCGGTGACAGAGCTTAAAAGGTTGCATAGAGAAGCTCGCAAGATAATTGTTGAGAATGGTGGAAAACATCCCAGCGGGTCAACTGCCATTTTATACCTGCCAAGAGAGAAGGGAGGGAGAGGCCTGCGTTCGATCGAGGAAGAGTACAAAGTAACGAAGATAAAGGCGGCAGTGAAGTTACATAGTAATAGCGACCCAGCCATAGCGATGGTTCGTGAGTTTGAAGAGAGAGCGGAAGAGTTAGGACACAGTTCGTTAGTTAAAGAGGCAACAAGGTATGCAGACGAGATGGGTCTCCGGTTGCAGCTGGAATACCCAAGTCCAGCTTGCATAAAACGTGATAGTGGAGAGGTGATAACAGCCGAGAAACTGAAGGTAGAGCTGAGAAGGGTTTTGGAAGAGAAGACATGGGAAACGGTGCCTGAGCAGAATTGGCAGGAGAAATTACTCTCTGCGAGGACAGAAAACGAGAGTCTTAACTTCAACGGATGTTACTGGTGACTAAGCAGTTGGAAACAGTGCCCAACACATACAGTGACGGAGATGTTTGAACTCTATGAACAATTATTACCGACGAGGTTGTATGCCTGCCAGAAAACGCACACAGACACAACGGGTGAGGTGAGGTGCAGGTTATGTGGTAAGGCCCCGGAAAGTGTCGCTCATGTCCTGGCTGGTTGTACCGCCCTCGCACAGAACAAGTATCTTACCCGACATAACGCAGCCTTGAAAATACTTTTCTTTGAAATTCTGCGCGACCTAGGCCTTGTAGACAGAGTCCCCCCTTGGTACTCGCCATTGAAACCGAAGCCAGTGTACGAGGCGAACAATGCGCAAGCATTCTGGGACGTTCCTTTATTTGCGGAGCACCAAGAAGTTAGAGCCAACAGAATAGATGCGCGTATTATGAATCAAGGCAAGTCATCACGCTGGAGATGAGCTGCCCATGGATTACAAAGCTTTAGTTATTTTTGCTGTTACTTCTCATTTTGAACAACTGGAACAAGGTATAAGTTTTTTTTTCGTAAATTAAGGGCATAATTCCAGCACCCTCCTACAACCTTACATGGGTTTTCTTAAGGACTTTGTGACTCCGCTAATTGCAAATTGTAATTGTGAAGAAATTGGATGTTAAGTGTCCAAATCAAATCTATAGAACCCCCGATAATTTATTTTATAGCTCGGCTTTATTTGGCTACTTCAGTTGTATTGCATGTAACAAAGTGCGTTTTACCTGAAAATGATTTTGAAAGATGGCCACACCAACGTGACACATACAGTATCTTAGTTTCACATAGATTTATCAAGGTAAAAAAAAAGTTTTTCAATGTAGTGAAAACACCTGTAAAAACTAATAATATCTCTGATTAGGGTGTTAATTTAAATATTTATCATTTTACAACGTTGCATGTGGTTGTCTGCCTTTGTGGGACGGATCTTTGTCACATTCAAATTTTCATTTATGACGAGTTAGCTTGCTGTTTTGAAGGTATTAATGGTTCGACAATTGATACGAATTGAATAAGGTCGCTTCGATTTGGAACGCAAAATTGAAATCGATCAATGGTTTTTAAATAGAATTAGTTTGGGTATGATACTGCATTGAACACATTAGTGTTTTATTTGATTCTGAAGCTGCAGGGTTTGATTTCGATTCTAAAATCAATTGCAAGATATCATTTTAATTTCTTATTTGGAAGTCGTGTCCTCTGTAATTTGTATTTCCTTTAAAATTTTCAACCAGAGATCCTAATTACCCATTCAATAAGACAGCCGAACAAAGCTCGGTGTGACATCACATTTATTATTGGTATAATAAAGTTTATTTACTTTTGAAGGACTTCTCCGATATTAAAATCGGTAGGGCCAATTTGTAGTACTCTATTCCTCTTCGATGTCATACACTTTGCCCGCTTTGCGACTTACATTGTGAAACGCCATTTGATCATCCAGCAGTGTGAAAATCTGATGGCAAATTCAACATTGGACGGGATCTTTAAACCCCACCATCCGCTCGAACTTAAAATTCTCTTCTACGCTGCTTTCATAATTTCTCTCCCTTTAACTGTATTCGGTAAGTTCTTTACTAAAACTGCTTAAGATAGTTACGAATTTGCTGAACGAATATACGAATGAGGCGAAAGAAAAAATGGCGAAATGTGTAGTAACTTGATTATTGCATGGTAAAGGTTTGATAGTTTTAAAATGGCTTTCAGCGAAGGGAAGAATTGTTTTTCAGACGAAATCGTGGAAAATCATTTGTTTCACTCTCAATTAAATATGAAGAGAATGTGTTCTGGAAAGATCAGTTTATCGGTTTTTGAAAGGAAAAAATCCATTCCATGTGATCGCACCTCACAATGTATGTTTAGTTGACTTTAACCGGCTGAGTAAACCAGTCTACTTTTGATTTTTGACCCATTGGTGTATTTTTCAAAGCTGAAATGTCTCAGAGTTGAAAGACCCGAGAGAAAAACACTGCCTGCTTCGTTAGGGCTATGTTTCTGAGAAGGCACTTTTCAACACTTGTTAAATGATATTTTCGGGACAGGAGACATGGTTTTGGCGGTCTACGTGAGAGTGTTCATTTTATTTGCTTTAAAATGTTTGTCCAAAAAGACAAATTATCCACGACATCTTTTACCCTCTTCCATCATTAATCAAAATCCTTTTTCACTAACTCATTGAAAGTATCACGCAAAATTTAGTAAGAATTCCCTCGAGACTTCCATTTCGTGGAAAACGGCCCGCTATATAGAAGATTCATTTCATATTTAAATTTTCGAGATTCCGGGTGTACAACTTTTGAGGATACAATGAAAAGCTTTACGCAGTTGTTGGGCAATTCAATCGATGATGAAGAACACTTCTGCCTGATGTCCTACGCAGTTTGCATTTTGGTAAATCTGCCTATTATTTAAACTTAAGTATTCGTGCATGACTTGGTACTTCTTGTGTGAGCTCAAAAGAACCACTTGTTCAGTTCGCGGTCATTTTTCTAGCCCAGGCTTCGTTGTCAGCGTGTAAATAAAAGAATAACGAGGCAGTATAACCAAGAAACCGCGACTTTTTAGCGACAAATACTCGACAAAATATTTGAAACCTTTTTGAATAACATCCAGCAGCTTTAAACGGCTTAATGACCGCTTCATTCAGTTTTTTTTCTTTCTTTTTCTAATTTAGGGAGATAGTGCGAAGCTTAACTTTTTAGCATGAAAGCTTTTCAGCTTTTCTTAAGATTTAAATTAAAGTCATTGTTAATTTGATGTGTAAACCTTTTGTAGCTTGTACTAATTTCCTTGATGCGAGAATAATAGTTATGGATTGTTAATATCACAATCTAGGATCCATTATTTTCTTGAGTTTTGTTAACCACGGCAACCAAAACTCAACAAAAACAGCTTTTCTTGTAGCGAAGGTCCGAGCTTGAATTACATATGTTAAAGACAGGCCGCTATAGAATCATGAATCTTTTGCATTTTTCTTGAAATTTACTCGGCAAAACTTCTAAAGTCGTGGTATATTGCATGAATTTTAGTAAGGACGAGAATTTTGATTTTCAAAATTTATTTGGAAAGGTTTACAGTGCTATTGTAAGAGGGTCTATTCAGTTGCTCTGCGATGGCAAGTTAGAATAACCATCACCAGAAACTCAGTTCATTTTAAAGCTCTCGTGCATTAAGACTAAAACAAAACATGTCGAGTAGCTAGCGCTGACTTTTTTCGCTATTTCTGAAACAATGAAATTAGATACTTTTTTTTACTTCAAACAAGTAACTAAAGGTGTGGGAAAAGTTTAAAAAACACCTTGATCGATACTTTCAAAAAAATTGTTTCGCTTTGCAAACGACAGCCAGGACTGGAGTGGTTTCTTGTTTCTCGTCAAGACGTCAGGCTTCGTCTTTATTCTAGAAAAACGGCAAAAATTCTGTCTTTTAACGATTGATATATACTCGGTCAACGAGTGACATTGGTAACTGAGCCTTGTTTTCTCATGCAAATGTTTAATTTTCGGGGACTTTCAGCTGTCCAAACGAATTTGCATTGATTTTGAGAAACGAGTTTTTCTCCATTTCACTTATTGAGCGGGGGGGGGGGAGGGGGGGAACGGAAGGTAAAGCTTGGGAGGGAGTGTTGGGGTGCTGTGTCCTTAAAAACCTGACCCTCTATTAGAGAAAAAAGAAATTGTTCATTTCACAACCCGGTATAAGAAAACACATCAATTATGTAAACCGATTCACACCGCACTCTGAGAGCCAATCTTAACACGAAACTTCAAATAAAATGACGAGAGCCGTTTATAGAAACCTCGCAGTACATAGCTGACCTGTTCAAAGCTGCTGGTCGAAAAAATTGACCCTCTTGAATAGACTGAAGAGTAGAACTACATCCCTGTTCGAGACTCAAGACCCCAAAAATCATATCTGATTTGGCGGCACATACCTGCTTGGAAAAATAAAAAATGTTCATCCTTTCTCCTCCCCCCCCCCCCCCCCCCCCCTCATCTGTTCTCCCAATAGAACGTGTTTATAACGGAAGAGTTATTTGAGTAAGCACTATTTCATCAACTTTAGGTCGACAAAATTCAGACGAATATGACACAATCGGAAGCGTTATAATATAGCCAATGTTTGTCTTGTATTACGATTATCACGCGGAACTCACGGCTTTTATCTGAGAAGTCGGTTATTTACAGAAATTATTGAAAAAGGGGCCCGGATGTCAGAAAGCATCCCGAGGGCCGTCAACAACGAACGACATCGCTGTTTCAGTAGTTTTCCCGTTATTGCTTCTGGTCGAGGAATTTCCTCTAAAAACCGCATGACTATTGTATTGAACGAGAACCACTTTCAAAAAATTTATCTCCCTTTTTTTAAAAGCTTAGATGCTGCTAAAAATTTTGAATAATCTGACAATTTTAGATTAGCTGTAATGTCAAACAGCTGCAAAGAGCAATTTTGTTTTTTTCATATAGATGTGAACCTTGTTTTGTCTCTTTTTTTTCATTGCCGGTGGTGTCAATTCTTTGATAGCGGCATCTTTTGTACTATTATATCGGTAATACGTTAGAACATTTGTTTCATTGTTTCCCTTTACACCTGTCATCTGCATGGAAATTTTGGCTGTCAACAAGCTCGCCGGCGCCGGAGGTCTCCATGTCGCAGAGCCCTTGGGAAGAAATCTAAATTTTATTATGAAAAAAAATTCACAAAAAAAAAATGAGATTCCCGCCAGAATATAATATTTATTTAGAAATATGAATTCTGTTCCATAATTACTCATTTTAAGGAAAGGTTTTCCCCTCTGAAATAGAATCTGAGATATCTTCAATGAATTTTCTGTTGTTTTTGTCGTTAAGAAACACACATGGAGGAAAAAAAAAGGCACTAGATCGTGTATGAAACGGCAAATAAAGGTTTAAACGGTTTATTGAAAATCACTGTGCCAGGACGACCGAACTACGTGCTGCACCTAGAAAACCCGAGGTCCTCGCACATGCTTGGACAATGACCCATACAATGCTGATTGACAGAATCACAATAGAGTATTATAAAAAAGTCACACAACTTGTCACAGATCGTGATCGGAGGGCTCCAAGAAACCTTCCACCTTCTCAGAAGAAATAACAGTAACTGATTAGTTTTGTCTCCTCTTTCTTTTCTGTATTGTTCAAGGAGATTCTATTTAATTGAGAATTTCGGGAGACGACGGCTAGAACTATTATGGCGAACAATGCGACTTAATAATGTTCCTGTAAAAGCCGTCACATCAATCAATTTGAACACCGATCTCGGCAAAAATCGAAAATCGAACACGGATTCCACCATCGATTGATACAGCACACTTAGCTGCATGACACCAAAACAAAATTTCAATAATATCTAGCGCTAGCCAAATGTGAACCGCGTTTTTTAGCTACTGAAAATGTTGATATCTTTCTGCGGCGTGGAAATGCAGCCTTATTTCTTCTGGTGGAGTGAGGGAGGGACTGGGGTTGGGTTAATGTACTGACCAAGCTTACAGCACTTCCGGTGAGGCCTCTTTAAGAAAAATGTTCATTTGTAAAATATATTTGAAGGAGATAGCGACCTTTTTTCGAGTAAATACGGTATTCTGTGATAAAGCGCGGTGAAAAAAAAATGGCATCATTCTTTTCTACAGGATCGTCATGGGTTACCATTCCAATGTTTATAATTAGCAATCATTTAGCCGATTCTGAATTTTTTGGAATAGTTTAATTTCCATCAGGGTTTTCCTCCACTTCTTTCAAGGGAATGGTCTAGTCATATTAGCAGTTGTTATCAACAAGAAGCTCCGTTCCGCCACCAATGCTCTGATAGTGAGCCTGGCCTTTGCTGATTTGCCTGTTGGTTTGGTGATCTTCCCTCTTATCGCCTTGACACAGAAATACGGGCCTAGTCTACAATATGGAAAGCAGTTGTGCCACACAACGATCTTCTTTACCGAGGTGTTCCTGAGCGCTTCGTGTCTTCATTTGTTGTTCATTAGCGTGGATAGATATCTAGGTAAGAAGACTGGACTAGACTTTCTATCAATCATGTGAAGCTAGGAAGACATTGTTACCAGAAACACAGTTCGGTGTTCCCTTTGGCGTCGAGGTTAAAATAAGAAACTTCCCCACCTCCCCCTCTCCTCCTACCCTCCATGCTCTAAACGTTTTATTTTAAATAATCTATTTATCCCAGCATCGGTATGCATATTCTTTATACTCTTTCTTCTCTGTATAGTTGCCATGGTACAAACAGGAGAATTTGCTTATCAATCAATTGAAGATTTTTTGGTCGGTTGTAGATCATTTCCTGTATCCTCATGTTTGTGATAGTGTAAGAAGATGGTCAGTGCTGGTCACTCTTGGGGTTAGAGGATTAAGGAGGTTTGCGAAGAATTTTCGCTCATCACACCCAAGAGTGCCATAGAGACGTCACGGGCATTTTAATTTAGTTACAAATATACATTTACTCCACCCCAACCCACTCTCGCTAGGTTCTAATACTCATCGTGCCTGCTTCCCTTGTAGCAATCACTAACGCTCTTCGTTACCACGCTATCGTCACCGCAAGACGTATTGCTTACGTCATCGCCTTCATTTGGACTTTGTCTGTGCTCGTGGCTGTATTTCCTTTTCTTGGTTGGCGTGACGTCCGGCCTCGTTCCCAGGGAGGATATTGCCAGTATCACCTAAACCTCTCTCCCAGTTTTATTCTTTTTTTGCACATAACCGTATGCCTGACTCCGCTGACCATCACATGTCTGGCGTACTGTAAGATATTCCAAATAGCACGACAGCAGGCTCAGAAAATCGCCTCTATGACGGTAAGATGTGTTGCTTGTTTGTTGGCAAGGATGCAATGAGGAACAATTAATTTCGTAATAATTTGGATATATCAACAAAGTTGAAATGGTAAATTGGCCACCGTAATGATTACAAAAGCTGACGTTTCGAGCGTTAGCCCTTCGTATGCTGTGGATTGAAAAATGCTAAGACAAAAGTTAGTAGTCGCAGCAATCAAATTAATTTCGTAGCCAAAACAAACAACTGATAAACAGGCAAATACAAAGGGCAAGAGTAAAGGTACAAGATGTGTAGACGTCGAAATAGTAACTAGTTTGCAGGAAGGCAAAACGTAATCCTGAGAAGTAACGATAAAAATAACTTAAAAAACGGTACATGAAAGAAGGATGATTCTGTCGGCAAACATTTAGGTGTCGATCACTAAATCATGATGATTCAGCCGTCCATTTACAAATTTACCCAGGCCTCCTTATAAAAGCCTATCAGACATATAAGATGAACACATTTGAGGCCCAAAGAAAATGAAAAAGAGACTTAAGCCCCGTCTACCTTATCTGGGGGCGGAAAGATGTTTTTCCTTTCTTCCTTCATAATTTGACTGTTCGCAAACATGGAAAAATGCTTGTTATGAAAAGTACATTGCGTTACATGGCACGAACAGGTAATAGTCGTACTTAAGGCCATAAAGAGACTGTAACAAAGAGGACGCGGTTGTTTGGCACCAAATTTTTCTGAGAGCTCCATTTTTACCATCGTTTACTCCACGCAGTATCGCATTTAAAACACCTTCTCAGTGGTGTTGGTACCTAATGGGATCAGTCTAGATGAGTACTAGTTTGGAATAATAATCCCATAAATTACTGATTGATCAGGCCAGACGTGCTTATTTCTTGCAGGTTAGTGGGAGTGAACAAGAAAAACGCCGTAAGAAGCTGGAAAAAGAGCGTAAAATCACTCTCTCGGTTGCAGTTGTTGTTGGAGTGTTCATTCTCTGTTGGGGGCCACTTAACATCATGCTTATCGTCTACTGCGCATGTCATAGCTGTGTCTCCTCTCTTTCTATTGAGGCAGCGGAAGTATTCTCCATGCTAAACTCTGGCTGTAATCCACTCATTTATGGAACTTTTAACAAGAACTTCCGCAGAACCTTCAAGGCTATGTTACGATGCCGCTGGCGTCAAATCAACCGTGAAGAGATGGAGGGTTCAACTCAAATGGCCATGCGCGTGTCGAAGGACTCGGTTGAAAGTTTGAAGTGAGAATTTTCAGACATACCATACAGGAGTTGGTTCATTGTGATTTTTAGTTCGATTACCAAATACGATTTTAAAATCTTGTTCAAACGTAAAAACGAACAAAAAACAAACAAACAAACAAACGAACAAACAGAAAAAGTGCAAAAAATGGGAAATCGATCGCGAAAGAATTTCAAGGATCAGATGGCAGGACGAAAACCAAGCACGTATTACGGACAACGGAACGTACTTACGATGCATACAGTTTCCATCCTGCCTTTGAATCTGCCTATGAAAGAGGAAAATTTAAGAGGGACGCTGCAGAATTAACTATGAATACAAAACAATGTATCACTGCTTAGCGAACGTGTAAACGCTAAGATTTTTTATCATTTAACGTAATAGTCATACACTTAAAGTTGAATGCAACAGAATACATATTTAACAATAAAAAAATATTTTTTTAAGCAAGAATTTAGAAACATGCAGGAAAGTGGTTATTTCAACTGGAACATTCCGATAAGTCTGTCAGTATGTCGAGAAGCGACGAAGTCCCCGCCCACCGTGTGCAAGAAAATTTCTAATGAAAGGAAAAAAAACTTTTCACTCTAAAAAGGCAGCCAAAGTTTTACTATTCTGTCGAAAAAACAGCATCCTTGCGCATTCACTTAGTAGAGGTTGGTTCCCAAAAGGGTTGGAATAATAAGAGACCTCGTATAAAAAGTTTGAAGTTCCATTATGCATTTGAGTCCGTGAGTCTCCCCTTCCAACAAAGCTATTCAATAGTTCGTAGTTTAACTAAGGCTGAAGCTGTTTACGAGCTCTCGCCTCACTTCTCTTTAAGACATGGTTAAAAAAACGATAAAGGTATTTCCCCTGAAGTCGAGCCGAGTGGCCCATCCAATCGGAATTGAATTTATCCCGGCTCCTGTAGCATGAAAGGACCTGGGATGGGATGCTAATCCGTTGCAAGCTACCCCCGGTCTTTCGTCATGTTCCTCTGACAATTCGTAGGCACCCATCTATATCCCTGGATGGACAGAGGCACGGCGAGAGTAACTTGTCTTGCCTACTGTAGCTTACAGTTTTAGTCGATGCTACGTCTAGAAAAATTTGGAACTCGCGCTCGGTTGAAGAGCCTCGAGGAGCCGATTGAGGTTTGTGATTGAGCGAGTGAGCGAGCGAGGTTCGACTTGGAAAATAAATTAAAATATATGGGATGAAGGGCCGAGCGATGATAAACATACAAGACAGAATTTAAAGACTTACAAATGTTTTCCTGAATGTAGCGATGGCGCCGAAGCTTAAGTTAAGAGTCTACGATCGGCAACGAAAACTTCGGGCTGGAGAATACGATGAAAAATTCGCGCGCTAACAAGCCGTAGCGTTTAAACAGTTCTATAAGGCATGCATAAATGATAAACTAACACAAAAAATTGCGCGTGGAATCCTACATCCCGGCCCCTAAATGCGCTACACAAACATTTACAATGACCTATAGAGGATTGCAACGCAATGTTAACATTAATTGTTCCTCGTGCAGCGTATTTGGGAGACGAAACGCATAGCCAAGTCCACAGTTAAACCTCCTCAGAATCTTCACTTGCTCCTTCGATAAGACTATCTTGTCTAGTATAGGACGTTTGAGTGTCTTTGATTTGGTTTTCAGCGTGACACTTCTCACAAGAGGGTCTCGTTGGTTCGTCTTGACGCCTGTTATGCGTGCAAGTGGCCATAAAACTGTGGGCGACTTCTGATCTGTGAGCAGTAGGATGTCTCCAATTTGAAAATTTCGATGCGGCCTGAACCATTTTTGTCTCTCTTGCAAATTAAAGTTGAGAGATATTCCTTCACCCCATCGGAGCCAAATACATCCGCTAAGTACTGGACCTGCCTCCATCTGCGCTTGGAGTATATGTCCTTCTTAAAAAAGATTCCGGGAGGAAACGATTGGCTATATCGAAGGAGGAGAAGCTGGTTAGGCGTGAGGGGTTCGAGGTCGCGGGCGTCGTCTGAGACCTTTGTCAAGGGCCTGCTGTTTACGATTGACTCCGCTTCGCACATGAATGTTGACAGCCCTTCGTCATCTAATACTTGCTCCCTGACCAGTGCGTTCAAGACCTTTCTTACAGTCCTTACACAGCATGAAAATCGAGATTTACGGAGACTTAAATGTTGCGTAAATCTGCGTAAAGTTTTGTACGAAGCTTTACTCAACTTTACGTACTACATAAGGGTATGTAGAGGAAGCTTTACGCGATAGGAGGGTAAAGCCAGCGTAAACCTTGCGTGTAGTTTGTGAGTCGACTGTACGGTTATTTACGCCTAGTGTAAATGAAACGTAAAGTTGTTTATTGTTTAGCCCAAATGGATCGAGCACATAAAATGACATAATTCTTTGAGATGTAGAAGTTTTAATAGTTAAGCACAAATAATTATTTGTGCGAGCACAATGATGAAACATCCCCAAAACAGTCTAAGCCTAGTTTGAGTTAAAAGCTTGCAACAATTTTCATTTTGAAAAATATGGTCTGAACTGGGACTTTGTTAT